CTCAATCACTGCAATATCTGTTCTTATGCCGTCTATTTTCTTTTTGAGTCTTCGTTTCCACGGTGGTTATTACATTATTATTATTATTATTACTATTATTATTACTATTACTGTTATTATTACTATTACTATTATTATTACTATTACTATTACTATTACTATTATTATTACTATTATTATCACTATTATTATCACTATTATTATCACTATTATTATCATTATATTAATATAATAATAATAATTTATTTAATAATAAATATATTATCATTATTATTATTATTATTAATATTATTATGCCTATGAACTTTTCAATAATTATTCAATTTATATTTATTAGATTAAGTTAGTTTTAATTTTGCACGTTCAACTTTACTCTTCTTGTTGTGTCCAAACTTCCCCATTCAAGAATACTCTTAATTTTCTCTACCATGACGAAGGCTACCTCAACACTGATTCCGTGACACTTATTCTAGCATGCCGCAAGGTCTGCTCTTCACACCTGGGTTGGTGACGATCAGCAATATGCAATCGGGACTGTGCTTCACCAGATCGGGAATTATCTTCTTGAACATGTCGGCATTCTTCTGCACCAAAGCCAGTCTAGACTCTCCCGGCTTCCTACGGGCGCCGACGGTCACGACGATCAGCCGCGAGTTGGCGCTCACGGCGTAATCTGCATCAACAGACACACGACAAAGTCAGTATTCGCTGGAGCAAAGGAGCTTTTCGTGAAAAGTCGTGTTGACGCCTTTAAGGTCAATACGTTGTAAATGATTTCGCAAAAGTTATTTAAAAGTCTATAGAGGTATAAAATAATAATTGTAAAATGTCTCCATTAATATAATGATTTTTAATAACGATTTTAAAACATCGCAGGGCGTCTGACGGACATCAAGAACTTCATAAATCTAAAGACAAGACAAATTGTTTACAAACATATGGCGGATTCTATTATGGATTTTGGAGTAGAGGCATGGGATGGTACGAGAACCATACATCTGGATACGTTGAAAAAATACGGAAGAAAATGGCGCAAATTTTATTTGGGACCAATATAAAGAACAACAAAGTTGACACTATATTATCACCACGAGGCTTCTACAAATGCCAACAAGACTTTACCAAGAATTACAATACGACAACTCCATATCAATAGAAATCAAATCACCAATATAACACCAGGGATACAACATTAAGTGTACCATAGTCGAACAACAAATACGAAGAAAGAAGAAAGTGTTTCATACCTACATTTAGCACGGCTTTCGAAATTATATAAAAAGGGTAGGAAATAAATATCAGCAACTCTCACAAAATCCGGCTACAGAGTATAAACTATGCAAAAATTCACATAGAGTTAAATATAAAAAAAATCAATTATGTAAACATAATCAAATTGCATTTCAAGTGTTAACAGAATAACATGCTAATAATACAGCTAATGAATAATGTAGGTAACAACATGTACAAATAAAAGCGTAAAGAAAATATATGATAAATGCTGATATACAATATACAATTTATAACTGATATCCACCATTATTATACATCTAAGGTGTATACCAGGAAATCACATGAATAAATAATTATGTAATGTAACTACACGATACATAGCAATATAAAATTTATACCCGAGTGAATATCAATATTCAATAAATTTAATTAACTTAAAGTATGTATCACACTGGATAAAGTACAATGTAAAAACGACTGTACACAAACTAATATGAAATTATACATAGCAAAACAAATTGGGTAAGCATATATTTATGAATCAGATCGTGTTAATTTACGAGGATAGTGAGATTTAATTAGTATTTCCAGAAATATTAAATTCGGCAATGACAACAATGGGGTGAACGGCCCATAAACAAATGCGTGGTGTACAATTAATATAAACAAGACGGAATACAGCAGAATCAGTAGTGGGGAAAAATATAGGGAGTGGAATAGGTAATGTAAAACAAGAACATGTGAGCAATTTCCGTGTAAACTGTGCTAAACATGAGTAAAATAAATTGTAGCCAAGTACTTCAAAGAATAAAGAGTTACAATGTAAATGCGACTTCAACCAATGAAAGCGGAGATGACATCCAAAAAAGCGATCAAGATGCGCGTACAGAGGCAGGAAGAAACGTGTTCGGAAAGGATTTCACACAGGAGAAAACAAGACGAACGCACACAACTCAAGAATGAGAGCTCGATCAGACTTGCTCGAGGACGAACGGGCACATGGAACGCTCGCGGAGGAAACGTTGATTTTAGTATGTAAATGGAACGATATGTCGAACTCAAAGGAACTCAAAGGAAAGTAACATTAAGGGGACATTTTGTTAACAGAAAATAATGTAGGAAGATCAAGTTGTGTTTTCAATTTTTAAGATAAATTTGTAATTGGGGAAATAATTTGGCCAAAGTATGCACATAAAGGGGAGGGTTTATTTAATAGAATATGAACACTTTTGTTTATAATTACATTAATTCTAAAAAGGGATACATTTTTCAATTGTTATTGTGAAAACGTATACAGGAGAATACTATGTATGCACGTATGTATGTATTTACAGCACTGCATAAATGTATTTGATCGGCATATTCTAAATATAGGTATTCCTGAGGACACCCTAGAGAATTTCTGAGTCCATATTAGAATAAATAATCCCGGGTACATAAATATTTCGTCATCGGGAGTTCGTACTGACGATCTAGCTTACCCACACCTAATATTTTTTTCGTGATAATGAAAATTCGCGCGTCATATAGAATAGTAAGATAATTAAATAAATATACGGAAGAGGAGAGTATTCATAATTTTCATACAAATGAAGGCCGTAAATATATTCTTATTAGATTGGCATGCCCAGTACGGTGAAGATATTAATGGTATTATAATAAACAAACCCGGATAACACCCACTATCAGATAAGAAAAAGTGAAATGTAACAGTAGCCATTCTGACTACAAAATACGAAACAAGCGTCACAAACGACATGTAATTATTGATATCAAGCATAATTCTACTGAATATCGCAATGTACTAAATGGGCACCTGATGTTTTAAAACTTCGAAGGACCCTGAGATTTTTGTGATGAATGACGACGGCTGCCGGAACCATCTGCTCCACGGGGCCTACTTTTATTTTTATTATTATTATTATTATTATTATTATTATTATTATTATTATTAATGGATACTTCAAGTAAATAATTTTTTTATGTACTTGTGGCTTATAGATTTCCTAACCTAACATTTTATTTACACCGGCGCGGAACGCTCCGCGCTAGACGCGAGCGGCGAATCCGCGGGAACGGAGCGTATTTGACTGGCGTTTGGTGAGTTCCTCATCCGAATAAAAAAAGCAAGAAGAGCTTCGATCCAGGGGGGAAGGAAGACATCCGAAGGCAAACGGACTTCCACGGCAGCGGTCGAACCGCGTCCGACTACCTTCCCAAATCCGCAGGAAAGAAAATTGCCAATCCGCTGCCGCCACGCTCGTCTGAACGTGCTCTTAAGGCAACACTTGACGCGAACTTTCCACTGCGGCCATGACCGTGTAGGCTGCGGGTCTTCCGCGCCGGTCGGTGGGAGCCTATACTTTTTACTTATTAATTTGTATCTAATATATTATTACTTATGTATATAATAAATCATATACTTATGTAGTTGTATATTATATTCATTTTCATACTTATTTCTATTTACATAAACATATATATTTATTTCATCAATTTTTTGCTCCTCTAATAAGAGGAGCTACATATAACCTAATGTTTTATGAAATTGTGTGTTTCACTCACATCTTCCAACATGAATCATTCAGAAACTAACGCTTATGTTGTTTTTTTCTTGAAGTCCTTTTAATTAAATTAATTTCGAACAGACAACTTGGTACACAACAGAACTCTCCAAAAATATTTTCTTTTCAAATGGAACATATACACAAAAATCTTTCAGCAATCAATTTGAAATATTTTGAAATATATATATGTGGGAAAATATATGGATGTACACATTTAATAATTAATAAGTACATTATGATTTTTCTTAATAAAAAATTTATTCCAAATATTCTTCCATTTTGTGAAACGTTGCAAAGAGTAACAGTTATGAGAAAGCAAGTTCATAAATTAAGTTTTCAGGTACATTTGCAGTCCACGTTCACATTATTACCTAGTGTCATATGAAAAGAGAGGTAAAATGTTTACCTCTGAATATGTCACAGCATCAAGTGGCAAAATGTCAGCATTATGTAATAATAAAGGATTTAAGGTAATTTTTAGTGAATAATTGATTCGCAATGTGATACAAATAACAAAATTGTAATAATGTTAAATCAACAGCTAATCTCATAATTAATGTGTAATAACCAACATCAAACATGAGTATCTTTTTCTAGTTTCAGAAGATGAGGTTTGATCCAAGTGGAAGAACCTTCAAGACACACATCAAAATGAAATGAATAAGCGAACAACACGTATGGTGATACTGGAGTTCAACTGAATACCTCTACATGGCCATTTTTTGATATGTTGTATTTTTAAAAGAAGAGATGTCTCTCAGTCAAACTTTGTCCAATCTAAATACAGATAAGAGAGAAGTAGCAACAACACTTTTTAACAGGACTGGGAATACTCTCTTACTCTGATTTAAGGGAATGAGGTAAACATTATTTCCCTTTTTTATCTAAAACTTTTATTTGGAGATTGGAACCATGGTGCAGTAAAATTATGATTTTGAAGTAGTAAAATTGGTGTTTTAAATGTTCAAAAGTGTTAAGTCATCTAACAGTCTACTCTCTCTTTTTAATTTTTTTAAAATAGCAATGATTGTCACATTTGCTAAATTAACATTAAGTTAATATAAGGAACTTAATGATGATGATGTTGATAATAATATAATATAATAATATTAATATGAAAACGTAAAAAGTAGATGAATATAATATATTGTAAGATATGCCCCATTATAATGATAAATACTCATTTTAAAATTAATAATGGAATTTAACGATTTTGATTGTATATTTAGGTTCTGAACCTGGAGTCATGAGGTACGGTTTTGTCTGCTGATGCTGATCAACCGCCTACTTCTGTGCAATCACGTAAGCAAAAGAAAAAAAATGTCAGTTAAAGACAAAGTAGCAAGAAAGAAGTTGTCTCTGGATGACCAGAGGCTCCAGATTCTCCAAAAAGAACCTAAATCTGAAGACTATCTTTTTGAGCTTTTTGCCTCATCTCACTCACACGAACCCTCTTCAAAAATATTGTCAGTGAGAAACAAAATTATTCAAGTGATTGTTGATAAAAAGAACATAATGGTAATAAAAAATTAATTAATTTTGTATTATTCCAATTTTTTCAAATATTATTTGTTTTTTCATCAATAATCACTTGGACATCAATTTTTATTGAAGAGATATGGAAGAAGTTATTTTTTCTTTTAAAAATTACATATCAAAAAATGGTTATGTTGAAGTCTTCACTCAACATTAACACTGCCAAAAGTGCTTTTCTTCGCTTTATTAAGTTCTTTTCAGTTAGTGTTCCAAACGTTATTTCACTTAGATTAAATGTCATCTTTTGTAAATGTTTTGTTCACAGCCAAATAGATAGGAAGATAATTTAGTTTTCTTTGATATTTGATGCAACATCTTGATGTTGTGTTGTGTATTG